CATCGTCAACGCATTCCCTATAGGATGGCCGTAAACGTGTTTGCTGATCAAGAACTCGACAGATGGCGCTGCTATCGAAGTTGTGGGTTTGAGAGCAGGCCATGGAACTCAGTTCTGTCGGATAGGGACTTGGGCGCAAAGACCGTGGGTTCAGTCTTCAGTCTTCGACACTGACATTGTAAGCCGACTCATTCGCCAAATGAACTTATTAATGGACCGGTTTCGGACCAGTTGTTGCCAAGCGTTTCATCGTCGCAGCGCAATGTAACCATCGAAGGCAACGAAAGTTCGTCTCTTGCGAATGATGAACAACAGCACGCCATGCCCATCGGCTTTTTCTGTTTCTCACTGGAAACTGGAATCGCATCGTGATACTAGCTCGCCTGGTTTCGCAGAAATCAGCAATCGTCTGACGAAGGGCCGAACTTGCGGGAGCTTCAGGTGAGGTTGGATGCGCGCATGCCGGACACGTCAAAAGTTGGATGATCTTCAAGTTCTCTGTTGAAGATTGCGCGAGGATCTCCTGATTATTGATCGGCAATGCGGGCAGCCTTATGTATCCTTGAGGTTGGTGTGCTGAGCACGGTCTTACTGTATCGAGCGACCGGTGATCAACTGATACGACCAGGTTACAGAAATCCTGGCGTAGTGCTGCGGCTGAACGAACGAAGCGTGCAATCGCTCAAGAAGGAAGTACTCATGATAATAGGCTCATTACGAGGGCTTCGAATGAATGACGTGTTCGAAAAGCCAGTGAAACGATTGCGCCTGACCATGCAAAACATGCAGATAGTGTCGGTGACACCACCTTCAAAGTTCGACATCATGTTCATTCCAAATTCCAGAGATCAGGTACGAATCGAAATGGCAGGCCTCGGTTTGACTACCACGGCGGTGGTGTCGACACAGTTTAAGAATTTCAAGAACATGTTCGTTACTACGGCTATGCAAGGACTTAGCCTCAATCTGCAGTTACGAATGTATGCGGACATCAACGGTCATATGCAGGTGTTGATTGAGAAGTGCATGGCGAACCTGGCAGACGCCCGGATAGACATCGCCCACACCCGACGGGTGCCGACGAATACCCAAAAGCTTGCCGGTAAGCTTCAGCGGCAAGTGGAAGAAAAGCTGTGTCCGTTCATCCAATCGAAGCTTGTGCAGCAAGTGAACAAATATCTGGGAAGCATGAAGAGCAAAACGCGGCTCGTTGAACTGTTTCAGCCCAGATCAGCTTACGCTCTTGCGCCCCCGAAAACGTCCGTCTTACTGAACACGATTGCCCTGGAAGACCCGGCTGTTTACTCTTCGTTGGCCAAGCATACGGTACTGGATTACAGCATTATGCCTGAACCGCATGTCGTGCAACCGTCGGCGTTGGAAATCCCCTTGAAAGGTGAAATTTCGTGGGACGGAAGGGGAGGTACCCCGTTCATACCTCCGTCAATCCGAACCGGTCCGTTTTCGTCACAACACATGGCTGATTTCATATCCACAGACTACCCTATTAACTCGATGCTTGCCAATTACCATAACCGGAAAATATTCGAATACCGCGTCACTTCTAGCCATCCTCATTACGGTAAGTACGTGCGGGACAGTTGCGCGGTGCCAATGTGCATTGGCGTCGTCCTGCCGGACATCGGCAAACGCTATCCAGGCACTCAGAACGAGATCTTCGTGAAGACCACGAGTGCCCCTAAAGTGGTCATCAAAGACGGCGCCGCCCTGGTCTATATACCGATGCAGGTTAGCGTATGCGCGGTGAAAGGCAGGTCGATTGTACCCGTGTTGACGATTGCTATGAAGCCGGTGCTAAACCTGCACATTATTGCCAAAAACCAGAAGCTGTATGCGAGGATCACCGAAAAAGAGTTTCC